GTAAACTGATACAACCTTCACAGAATCTATCAGAGTATTTTGTCAATTTACACTTGTTACATTCTTTTGGTTTGCCTTTTTTATCTCTTGCATTTCTTAATTCAAAGTTATAAATAAAATGTTCTTTACAAAATTCTTTTTCATTTTCAGAAAGCTCCTTGTTTTTTTCAACTAATGAAAAAAAACAGTCTTTTAAACTTTCTTCATCAGAATTAACTATAGCATTACTATGCATTTCATTAAGAATTTTAATGACAAAATTCTGCCTTTCTGGTGATAGCGATGATAATCTTTTAGCATATGACATTATATAAAAATATAAAATATAAAACTTTGACTTGTTGTTTAAATGAATGAGAATAACTATTATATTATTTCCTTTTTTCTTTGAGGACGTGTAACAAACAAATTTTTCGTACAACATTTTTTTTGATGTAAATTGAAAAGCGAAAATTACATTTAAAGAACAATTTCACCGTCACCATACTATAGAGTGATCGATTTATCATGATTCAACAATAAAATAAATCCTTTGAAAATTTAAAAGCGATAAAAATAGAAAACAAAATTAAAACTTACAAAAATATGTACCAAAACCTGTCTTATAAGGTCATTCTAAGTACCAATATTGATTAACTTATGTTGCCTCAAACTCAGACACTAAAGACAGCTCAAGCACATTATTAATAGTATTGCGTATTACTACATATTATATGTAATTCTGTAGTTAATCAATTTAACACAACTCATATGTATGTAAAGACAATTTGATTTTTTACATTTATGAAATGTAATAAGAGAATGGTTTTAATTTGTAAAAAAGGATAGGCCTTTTTATTTTGAAAGACAATACACGGAAAAAAAATTAATTTAATTAACTAATATTTCTAATTCAAATGATAACTTTCCATGATAATTATTCTTCTGCATCATTGCAATATACATACAATGATATAATAATTCCCAGGATACACATTTTTAGATAATTTGGAACTTTTGATTAATATTTTATCATTACCATTATTGCTGCTTGTATCATGTATCAAGAGTTTTTACTTACGTCAAGTACGTCAGGTGGTTTTAATTACGTCAAAAGCTTTTACTTTACTCAAATCGTCAAAATGGCTTCGATGAGAAACTACCTTTAATCAATACTTTAGTCACATCAACGACTAAAGTCAAAAGTTTCGTATACATCATTAACTGTAAGAGGGAAAATTTTTTTGGTTGATCGTATAAAGAACTTATCAAAAAAAATTTTTTAGGGCTGTAAAGTTGCACCTACAGAACTCCCATCATTTCAGATGCGGCCGTAGTTGGTATATTCAGAACAAGACATGACTGAATTATCAGTCTATGTCGTACTACAAAATCTTCTCCAACAAACCAAAAAACTAATTCAAGATTACGTAGCTGGAAAAGTTGCTCCTCATAAAAAATTACGCGGCAGCGTCTACATTATTGATAAGATACCTAAAAGTCTTTCCGGAAAATTTTTGAGAAAAGATTTGAGAGAACACATTTAACCTAAAATTTTTTGTATAGTAATTATTGAATCGGTTTTTTAATAGTTACAAGTTCATTGACCCAAAGATTATTTAAAACAAAAGAAATGTATCTCAAGTATGATAGATGAGTGAATGAATGGTTGACGGGGAATTTGTGAAGTAGAAGGTTATTGGGTGTGTAAGTGATAATTAAGACAGATTTTGAAAAGAGATTGTTAATAGGAGACGCTCAATTGATAAGAATTTTAATAAACAAAGGGGAAAAGGGAGTGCGTATAAGCAATTTCTAATAGATTCCAGGAATAAAAATATATGGTACACGTTTACAATATTCTTGCCAATCGTTTCCATATTTTCTGGAACATCTTTCCATATCTCTAGTAACACGATGAGTTAATACAACAACAAAGAAAACTGGATAGAAAAATGGAATAAGCGTATTAAATCCAGTGATGAACCCCCAATCAAAAGCCATTAACAAATCAGCTGTATAATGAATTTTACGTGCAATCCCCCACCATCCGCTTGTAAGTAATAGGTTTCCTTGTTTTGTTTTAATATAATCGGGGTTTTTCAATGTCCCCCATGGAAGTTGAGGAAATGTGTATCGAGGAATGTAAGTTCCATTGATTATCATTCTAAATCGATTTTTTTGAGAATTTGCAGTGTCCCTAAAAGAAAAAATTAATACAATGACATGATGATTAATTGATTTAACAATTGTAATCAATAATTAATAATAACCATGATGATAATAATAATAATAGTAATAGTAAATACCACACATAATAAGCTAATAATAATAAACCATAGCAAAAATAAGTCCAAAATGATGAATGAGTGATTGGACGACCATTATCAACACTTGAAATGTGAAGATATAATGTAGAATAACAATATGTAAATGGCACTAAAAAAAATTTACGAAAAAAATAACTAGTTAGATTTTTAATTATTTGGATTTTAAAAAAAATTTGTTTTTGCTGAAAATTTGATTTTCATACCTCCAGCAAAATTCCAAAAAATAAGCATAAATCCAAACTGATAAAACATTTTTAAATTAATTAATTAATTAATTAATTAATTCATTTATGTCATAAATTGATGAATTGGTTGATTGATTACCTTTTCATAAGTCATATCCCAAGTTGTAGGAATACATTCTTCACCTTTCATACATGCATTCACATACAGGAAGTGTGCAAATACCATAAATGCCATAGATGATGAGACATAACCAAACATTTCATATTCTTTAATAGCAGCAGATACCGAAATATAAAATAAAATTACCTATGTATTATTATTTATTTATTTATAAATAAATCAATAAATGAATAACAATAATGAAATAATTATTTAGATAAAGAAGAAAAACATAAATACCCAAGGAATTCTGATTTCAGCAAAAATTTTCAAATCAACTTTTCCAATTCTAGGATTTAAACCAGCTCCCATAAAAAGATCATACATCAAATATCCTGACATACGATATTGCTTGCCTTGAAATATTGTAGCAGCATAAACAAGAAATGTAATAGAGAAACCAGAAATTATTGCCACACTCATCAAAGGTCCAAAATTATCAATAATGTCTGTCAATTTAAACAATTCATAATAATGAAGTAGACATGATGTAAATATAGTCACATAAAATGACCAAACTCCATTACAAAGATAATCCAATTGTTTTCCTTTCAATGAAGAAACAGGTGCTCCCTTAACTATAGGTCCTGGAACAACATAAGCCAAAAAAAATTCAAAAACGCAAAATGTTATATAGATTTTAGCTGCATAAAAAGTTGGTGTTGAGCCTTGTATTATCGATGTCCATAATTTTTCATTCAAAGGTGACTCCAATCTCCCGCGATTAAACTGTAGACATCCCCATAAATAATACATTAGGATGGGAAAACCGATCATCATTGCAGTAACTCCCCATGGTCCACCAAACTCGAAAACGATTTGAGAATCCACCATTTCATCAAGTTCATTAAATTTCAAATTAAGTCTTGGAAAATTATTTGTAGTGTCTTTTTCATTTTTTTGTTTTATTGTGTTTATTGCGACAATTGAAACGTCTTTATGTGGTGACATTATTATTATTATATGTACTTATTTTTCGATAAAAAAAGATTATTTTAAGATTGCAGATTTAAAGAGAAACGATGATACTAATTACATTCATACACACACACTACAGTATTATATTGATTCATTTGTTACACGTAAAATTTTTTTATCAAGATTGCTGATTTTTAAAGGAACAAATTACATTCGTACTAGTGAGATTCATGAACATTAGGGGTTACACATGATTTTTTAATGAATGAATGCAAAAAAACACTAATACTGTATCGGTTCATTTGTTACACTATAGAAGTTTGCCTAAACTACTAAATTTCGGCAATAGTTTCGGCAAATTAAAAAATTTAGTTTCGGTTTTCAAGCAAGCAAAATGCCGAAATTTTAGGCATAATTATTTTTGCCGAAATTAAATCAACGTACGAAACTAAATTTATGTGCCGAAACTATAAAATGTGCAAGCCTTTTGTGCAACTAATGATTCATAAAGCATATAATGTTAATATTACTTTACCAATAAATTAATGGCATTAATTATTGATAAAGTAATAATTAATTTTTTTGTTATAATTATGATCAAAATGATTTAATTTCGACAAATTAAAAATTTTAGTTTCGGCTTTCATGCAGGTAAAATGCCGAAACTAAATCTATATAGCAAACATTTACATGATTAATAATTTCATTGATTATAGATCATATTTTGATTTATCACGGGGAATTTTTTTATAAATGTGCATATTCAAATAATAAAAATAATAATAAAAATCTTTATCCCTTTCTTTATTTAAAGATAAAGATATTATTATCCTGTCCTTAAACTTAATCAAGATTGCTGAAAAGAAATCATTTTTTATGTTATAAAAAAATTTTTGGGGAAAATCATCCTATATATATTATCAATAAAGCTAAGCGAATGCGTTCTTTGGGTAATCTATTCATTGTTTGCTTTGTGAGAATAATAAGAGTGTTTACATGGCTAATGAAGATTTTCAGATTTGGAAATCATAGACTTAGATTAAGAAGATAATGATTCAGAATATGGTATTCAACTAGTATGTTTTCCAACGACACCAAAATCTGCCAAAGCAAACACCTCACCAATCTTACCCTTTGTTGATACCAATGTAACCAACCTTCTACATAATAATAATATTAAATGTTTTACAATAATGATTAAATTTCTTGTATTTCAACATTAATTAATTTGTTCAAAAGAAAACGTCTAATCATTATAAATTAGTTTCAACAAAAATTGAAGCTTCGGCAACAAATTATAGTTTCGGCACGGTGATTAAGTTTCGGCAAAGTAACTGAGTTTCGAACTATAACCTTTTTTTTTCAATATTTATATTTAACGAAAAAATTTAATTTAGTGCGACGTATTTAACTTTAAAAAAGAGATTTTCGATCATTTTTCACACAGAATTTGTTAAAAAAAGCAAAATATTTCGAAAAAAAGGGAAATTTCAAGTGTTATGATAATGATTGCGTTGTGTATATAGTTAAAATTAATGTTAACGTTAACGTCAATATCATCATTTACGTTAATGTTATGATTGAGTTAAGTTAAGCACTGTCAAAATTTTTTTTAAATGGATTTATAATAAAAGAAAGAAAAGATGTTGAATAAAAAAAAGCTTTATCAGACTATGAATTGCATCCCTTCCATCCCTTTGATTTATACAATAATAGATAAATTTATGCTTAATAATTAAAGCCACTGTTAACTTTTTCAACATTTTAATTACTGAATTAATTTATAAAAATAAATTTCTTAAAATAGAATTAAGTTTTATTTTTAAGAAATGCCTTCTAAATTCGAGTAATAAAAATGGAAGAATGTTAATTGATCAAATTTATAACATTCTTTCGTTAAAAAAAACATGTCATCCATTATTTTATCTATGTGATTCATTAAGACCGTCTCCCCGCTGATAGTGTAATTAGTGGAAGCCAAAAAATTGAATCAAATTGCTGGTCATTTGGGCCAATCTCAACCGTGTTTTTGAATGTCGATGAGATCATATTTGCTGAAGAACAAATATACGTTGCAATGAGCCGAGCTCTTTTCTCAAAAAACTTGCATATTCTCGGTTTTGACTATGCTCAATTAAAGATCTCTAAAGCAGCGTTAGAAGAATATAAAAAGGGTTGCAAAATTTGATAAGGCGGTAAAAAAAATTAATTTATCATGTTAAAAAAAAAAAAAGTTTAACAAGCTATTTAATATTAATATTTAGTTAATTGGCGTTTACTGTTCCTGCTCCTGCGAAGAAAAACAATCCGTCGTTTTGTCCTATCTTTGTTCTATTATTATTGTTTTGTTTATTATATTAATATTAATATTAAAATACAAATAAATTCGTGCATGTGCAGTCGCTCACTCACTGCGATGTTTAACTTAAAATCTTGTTATAACTAATATCGCATGTTTAAAACTTAAAATCCCCCATAATTAATAGATAACGAACGGTTTGACACACTGTGATTGGCCAATAGGGAAAATTATTCCAAATTTGGTAATACGTACTACTATTTGCAGTATGCCCGAAATTTAATACTGTTTTCAAAGACATAGATACCAAATTTGCATGGAAGATAGTATACACATTATAGTTTGGAGCTACGTAAAGCTTTAATTAATGGCTATAAAAATATTAATGGTGTAAAAGAATTTGCAACAAATTTGTTTCTTTATTGTAATACTTCTTTCTATCTATTGCAACTTCAGAAAAAATTGCATGGAATAAACCTACTCTCTACATAGCACTGTTTTACACGTCTCCTGATTGATGATGTATGTATTCATTCGGAATTATTCAGACATTATCCAAATAGGACCTCGGATAATTATAATTGAACTGGTATGGTGGCTTGGGCAACTTGCATGTTGGCTGTCAAAGTGAAAACACAAACATAATGCCACAGATATGACTTGCTGAGAGCAGCATTGACCATCTGGGCTCTTGTGCCTTTGCAAACTACAGAAAGAACTTGACAGAAGTCTCCCCCAAACATAAATATTATACCACCAAATGGAAGATCATTTTCCATAATGTCTCTTAATGTTCTGTCAACAGTTTCAAGAATGTGGTGACGTGTCATTGGAGCTTCATCCCAAATAACCAGAATAGTTTCTTGAAGTAATTTAGCCAGATCAGTACACTTTTTGATGTTACAGGTTGCATTTTCATTTATTGGAATTGGTACCTTGAAGTGAGAATGTGCTGTGCATCCATCATGCAATAGTAATGATGTGATACCGGAAGAAGCTACTGCAAATGCAATTCTGTTATTAGCTCGCACATAGGCAAGGTGACGATCATAGAGATAGGTTTTTCCACTTCCAGCAGGACCATCAACAAACAATACATTGGTTTATGAGATTCTGTATTTCATCAAATACTGCATGTTGGGCTTCATTTAATGTATTTGCTTTTACAAGATCCTCTGAGGTAACATGTCATGAGGACTCCAAATGAACATGGGAAGGGAGTAGAATTCTCTGACCTATGTGTTGTGGATTATTGTCACCATGCAAAGCTGCATCTTGAAGACCTTGATACAGATTGCTTTGGATTTTGTCTTGGTTCTGTCAATGAAAGTTTAAATGATCTGATTCAATTTTGACATACATATCAACTACGTACTGTTGGAAAAGCCATCCTGCTTGTAAAAGCAGATTGGTGGAATTGGGCCAAATCTGAAGTTGATATGCATAGTACTTACAAATTTTCTATGTTGTATTCCAGTATTACCATGTTCATGTTCCACATTGTGTTTATCTTCATCATTAGGACTTATATCAATATCCATCATTTCAGGGACAGAAAAAATGTCTCTGTATGGAATTTGATTAGGAGCCCATTCCTGTTGCCATGTGGAAACAAAAGCAGATAAGCCAAAGGTTCATAGCATCCATTAAGCTCAGAGGTGTGAATCAGCTGATCCATCTGTGTATACAATACAATATCACATTTCTGAACCACATTTTGGCGAATGTCATCATTAATCCAGATTGCTGCTACTTGAGATGCTGTTGGGGCATTGTGAGTCCTTTGATCAAGATCAGGAATATAAGCATGAATAACCATGGATTGATTACCAATATTTTCAGCAGGTAGGTCAGAAATGTATCAAAAGTTAGTAGCATAGGGGTTTGTTTCATCAAGCATGTACTTCAAAGTTTGTAAAATAGTTGAGTTAAGGAACAACATTTGCTAGATGGTGTGGTTCATGTTGAGTATCCCAAACATACATCTGCAAATAGTGAGGTTTGAGATCCAGGTTCTGGTAGTAGTTGTCCAATTCTGTGATAGAATGAACCTTGAACACAAAAAGTGTAAATACCAGTATTTGCATTAGCAAGTTAATGATCAAACTTGACACCAACAGAAGTGAATGTGAACACTGAATTGAAAAGATGAATATTATCCCGAAAATGCTTGGAAATATTGTTCTGACCAGAAAAGAGATTCTGCAGAAGCAAGGGAACATGGGTTCTGCCAATATCACTTTTCCATTGGAGCATCACATTCCAGGACTTTTCTCTAGGAAATTTGAATGCATTGCAATGACTACATGTAGTACTGCTAGTGACATTAATTTGATGTAGAATGGGTACATTTGCATCCTCGGAAAAGTCCTGAGCAAATTTATGCAGCTGAGGATTATTGATGTGCTGCTGCTGATGGGCTTTAGCATCTTGTTGGTGCTGTTTCTGATGCTGTTCATCAGTTTTCTTGCCTCTATTTCTGCGTTGTCGGATGGCATCAGCTTCTTTTTGTTTTTTTTTCAGTAGATATTGTGCTTCACCACAAGTCAAAACTAGTTTTGGCTTTTGACTTTTGATTTAGTTCTATATAACTTTTAATTTTAGTATTGACTTTTTTGCCTCTCAAAATGGTTTTGCCAACCAATACTAATCACAACTAAGGTTTCTGGTCCAAACTATTTTTAAAAAAAAGAAAATTTTAAATTACAATAGGTTGATTTATGTAATTTTTTCATGCTCATTCATTCTTATAAAAACATTGGCCAAAAATTAAATTTTACTCAATGTTTCATAAGAAAGGTATCTCATTGTAAATTTAGCATAATTATGCAATGGTGGTTTTCCCAATAATTGGAAAACCAAAAATCTTTATATTCTACTAATAGTCATTTAATTGATATTCAAAAGCTTGAATAAATTGTTTATTGGCCGACATCTTTAATGTATTTGAATATTTTAGCAAATTTATTATGAAAAAAAAAGCACAATTTATATATTTATATTATTATAATTTTAAAAATCCCAAGCCTTGAAAGGTTTAATAAAATAACATCATGAAAATATTATTATTTCTTTAATATATCATATGCCTGTTGACTCACATCCTCCTTTGCACTATGTCTTGTGGCATAAACCCCTCCAGTGAACATATAATTGTTTACTGATAATGTAGCATAACAGCCACCATCAGCCAACCTATGATAATCATATTCTGGTCTTCTCCAATGCCTCTTGTCTGCTAGCTCATGTATCAATGAAATGAATGTCTTGTCTACATGTAATATTGGTTTATGCAGCTCATAATGTTGTTGTGGCATTGCTGATCTTTCAACTGGTGGTTTATATGGTTTATAACGTTGTTGTGATCTTTCAACTGTTGGTTTAGTAATGGTGATGGTGACAGGAGGCTTACTAGTCTCATTATGACCACTCTCACTGAACATTGATGGATACAGTTGTGCTAGTGTTTTTGATGTTGTATATGTTATTTTTTCTACTTCATCATCACTATTATCATTTGGAACCTCTTCTTCAACTGGAACTCCAAGATCATTAGTTACATTTTTATATGATTCAGGTTGTGTAAATTTTTTCCTATCTTCCATAAAAATAACATTTCCAATTAACCTTTGATAGTCAAGATCCATTTTATCAATCAACTTCTTTTCTTCATATTCTATTTCTTCATAAAGGATCTCAAAAGCAATCATTGCAACATGATCCTTGGCATATCTATATTGAGCTTTATCAAATACTGATGTTGGGTTAAATCTTCTTTTCCCAACATCAACAACAATAAATTTAACATTAGGATCTTCATCATGAATAGGTAGATTCTTAATTTCTCTGTATGTAACAACTCCTAGATTGTACTTTTGAACCAGTTCATGTAATAGAGTACGGGGACATGGTGGAAAATTTGGTTTTAACATTTCATCATACCATTTTTTAACATTTGGTATCATTTCTGTCCAATGTAATCCACTAGCCATTTGTTGAACTCCCTTTCCATAATTTTCTAATCTGGGTTTATATTCTGGCTTGAAAGCTTCAACCATGTATCTTTGAGTTCTTTGCAATTGTTCTGGGTATTTGCGTTGAAGATAAATCATAGCTTGTTCTGCAACATCCCTTTTAGCATCACGTTTCTTCATGTGTTCCTGCCTAGTGCTCCATTTTTGATCATCAAATCTAAGAACACAACTAAATTTTAGTTCTTTGTTTTGAGTAGCTGTGTATCTTGGTTCAGTTTTGTATCTTAGATGTTGCTGGTATAAATCGTTAATAACAGTTACAGGATTAACATCAGTTTCATTTGTATTTCCTTGACTACTATTACTATTATTACCATTACAATCACTATTACTATTACTATTACTATTACTGTTACTATTACTATTACTACTGACAGTACCCATGTTTACTATATACTATTATTGTTATTATTATATATTATTTTTTTCTTTTTTGTTTTTTTTTTTTGTGGCATCTACACATAACATTTCAAATAGGATTTGGATTAGATTAAAATTTTATTTTTTGGTGTTACTTCACATGACATTTGGATTAAATTTAAAAATGATCATCAAAAAAAAATTATTTCTATATATATAGAAAAAAAATCAATACTTTGGGTATTATTTTTCTTTACTCACTTTTTTTTTTATAGAATTATTTCTCTACTATAATATTTTTTTCTCTAATATTAAAAAAAATCTATATCTTTACATTTAGGCATGGACCTTCATAACTTGCAGAAAATACAAACATTGTGTAATGCAGTTTCTGTGCTCGTTTTATTAAATAATTAATTGGAAGGTGATGCCTCCTCTTCCTCTTCTCTGATTCTGAGGAAGATATTGAAATAATTGATAGGAAAGACTATCTAAAAGAAATGAGAATTCGTCAAGAGAGTCATGGTATACATTACTTTAGTATCTGTATTGATATGAGAAATTATGAATTTAAAAAAAAATTTTAGAATTACTAGAACTAATTATGAATGATTGTGTGGTAAGATAATTCTAGATATATTTCTTTTGAAAGAAAAATCGCTGTTACAATTTGGTTTCTTTCAACTGGTGAGAAATTAAGATGTCTAGGCCAAAGGTTTGAAATAGCAGAATTGACAATGAGTTGTATTATTAGAGAAGTTGTGGATGCAATAATTAAAAGATTTATGAATGAAACAATAAGGTTGTCTTGTAAATTTTAGGCTAACTATTTAAATTAAATTAAAAAACTATTTTATATATTATTGTTATTATTTTAAAATCAAATAAAATTAACTTTATATAAAATCAAAAATTATTTACTATTGATGTGTATTTATATTTTGTTAATAGGCTTCCTGACAATGATAGAGAAATTTGTCAAGTTAAACAAAGGGTGTTTGTTGATGGTCCTGCTGGAAGTGGAAAAACCTATCTCTATGATTGCCTCCTTGCCTATGTGCAAGCTAACAGTATAATTGCATTGGCGGTAGCTTCTTCCAGTATTGCATCATTACTATTGCATAGTGGATGCACAGCACATTTTCACTTCAAGGTACCAATTCCAATTCTGGTTATTTGGGATGAAGCTCTGATGACAAATATATTTCTGTTTGGGGGAGACTCCTGTCAAGTTCTTCCTGTAGTTCACAAAGGCACAAGAGCCCAGATTGTAAATGCTGTTCTCAACAAGTCATATCTGTGGTATTATGTTTGTGTTTTCACTTTGACAGCCAATATGCAAGTTGCCCAAGCCACCAACTTTGAGGCAAAGGCATTTGCAGAGTACTTGTTCAGAATAGGTAATGGTACTGAACCTACAATAGAAAACAACTTGATTCGATTTCCTGATGAGATGATTGTTCACCCAGAGAATGACAAAGATCCTATTTACTTACTAATAAATACTGTATATCCTAATCTCACTAAAAATGATGCCAACATTACCTTTGTAACAGAAAGAGTAATATTGACTCCTTTAAACACCAATGTTGACAAAATTAATGACAAAATACCCTGTAAAGCAGTATACATGCTATAGCTTTGACTCAGTGCCAGAAGATAACTTAAATCTATACCCAGTTGAATATCTTAATTCCCTAAAACCTCAAGATCTTCCTCCACATGAACTCACTCTAAAAGTTGGTGCTCCTATCATGCTACTTGGAAATTTAGATCCTATTAATGGACTTTGCAATGGGACATGACTTATCTGCTGGAAACTCTGGACAAGAATAATTGAAGCCAAAATAATAACAGGGGATCATCAAGGAAAGCATGTATTCATATCTAGAATTCCTCTCCTATCATCTGAAGATAGTGGATTACCTTTTGTATTACAAAGAAAACAATTTCCTGTGCATCCAGTTTTTGCATTGACCATAAATAAATCCCAGGATCAAACAATACCTCATATTGGTCAATACCTTCCACAACCAGTATTTTCTCATGGTCAGTTGTATGTAGCTATGCCAAAAGCATAAATCTCTAGAAATGGAATAACACAAGCAAGGACAGGGTTTATACACGCAATATCATATATGAAGAAGCTTTAGTACTATAAAGTAGAGAAAGAAACATAATTATCTCATAAACATATTATTGTAACTATGCAATTATTTAAATTGTTATGATTATTAATGAAACAAAGTTTATAAATGTACTACAATTCAAGCCTAGAATGAGTGACAATTCCTAATTTTGTGATTATTGAATCACCTGCTTTATGTAGCTCTTCTCAGTGAATATTATATTCTTCTATTTTGATAATTAAACAGAGCATGAATTAAGTAAATAAGTAAGTTGCAAATCATCCATCCATTTGAAATGTATTGATTATAAAATCACTTGACAACAAAAAATTAAAATAAATGTACTACAAATGTTGTTTAAAACAAATTGTTGTAAATCATGTCTAGGAGCCAAGCATGGACATAAGGTCATGCCCAGCTGCTTGTATTAATTAATAATGTAATAATAAAAAAACAAAAAATCTATTCTATAATATATTTTACAAAAGTAACATTAAAAAGATACATGTCTATTTTATATACTATTAAGTTTTAAAACTTCTTCTATTGATTTTTGTTTAACATTATTTGATAGTTTAAGTTGCAGGATTTCACCTATTTCATTACAAGTTTTCAATATTTCATCTAAATCTTGTTTAGTATGGGCAGCAGAGACACAAAATCTAGCTCTGGATGAAATCATTGGTGTGGCAGGATATGCAACAACAACTATAGCAATATTTCTTTTTAGACATTCTCTTGAGAAAGCAGGCATTTTGGCAGGATTGAATAGCAGCAATGGGATGATTGGTGAGTCAATATCACCAGAAATGATGAAACCCAATCTTCTCAAATTCACGCTCAAATATCTAGCATTAAAGGCCAACCTTTCCAATCTCACCTTGCCTTCATTAGTGCCATCTTCACCCATGATGATTGACAATGAAGTATAGACTTGTTGTAGTATCACTGGAGTTATTGATTCAGCATAAACTGATGCATGATTTTTTAATCGGAGACTATCAATAACCTCTTTTGATGATGCAATATATCCACCTCCAGCACCAAATGATTTTGTAAATGTTCCCATTAAAATGTCCACCTCATCAGGATTTATCCCATAATAATCACACACACCTCTGCCCCTTGGACCCAATGCTCCTATACTATGTGCCTCATCAACATACAAATAAAACTATATATCATAATGATAATAATAATAATATTATTATTATTAGATGATTTTTGATTTTCTTAAATAATAAATAATAATAATTGTAAATTATCCTTACTTTATATTTTCTTTTTAATTTAATGATTTTAGGTAGATTGCATACACTACCTTCCATGGAATAAAGACCTTCAACAACCAATAAAATTTTTTTCCAAGGTCGATGAGTCCTTGGTTGACCTTGACTAATACATTCTTTCAATAAATTTTCCAAATCCTCCATGTTATTATGTTTGAAAACTCTGACAAAGGCACCAGATAAACGACTACCAAACACAATTGAATTATGATTCAACTCGTCAGATATGATTAAACAACCTTTTGATACTAAAGCAGGCAAGGTGGTGCTATTGGTGGCATAACCCATTGATATGACCATAGCAGCAGGTTTACCAACAAATCTGGCAACCAATGATTCTATTCGTAGATGAAGATCTGATGTACCAACTTCAATCCTGGGACTACAAGATGAGATACCATATTTTTTTATTGTTTTCTCAACAGCATCAGCACATGGGCCTTCATTCTGGACAAATCCTAAATAATTATAACTACTTAGATTTAAACAATCTCTGGTTTTACCAGTCAATTGAAAAGTTTTACAGTAATCTTTTGTTTCTCGTTCGAGCAATGTAATCTTTCTACCAGGTACACCAGTAACAGGGCGATTGAAGCAATCATTAATTCGTAATTTTAATCTCCGTACATAAAAATTATCAAAATCTGAATTCAAAGGTGCATATCCCTATAAATACAATTTAATTGGGGTAAAGGAAATTTAAAATATATATATTATATTGTAATAATAATTTTAATATACACACGCAACATACATTTCGTTCTTCCAAATGACAATAATCTTTCTTTTTAAATCTTTTTCCAAAGAAATCACGAATATGTCCAAAACAGATCAGTATTAAATATGATAAATAAGTAGTAAATAAGTAATAGTATGATGGTTCTTCTTCTTTCCAACTTGGGTCATTGTCGGATCTTTGTGATATATATCTTTGTTGCTTATTAATATTATTATCATTTAGAACATTTGTTGTTCGTTTTGTTGTATTCGTTGTCATTATTGTATTCGAATTTTTTTTTATAATTATAAATTTAATACTTTTTTTATTAAAAATTGAAATAAAAATAATAATTATTTTTTATTATATCAAAGTTTCTTTTTCTTTGATTCATTGTAAAAAAAAAATTACAAAAAAATTTACATTGAATAATTTTTTAAAAAAAATCTTTTTATGGCACGTAAATTAATCTCCTATTACTATCTCACGTGCCTCATAGTAAACGGGCGGCTAAATATTATATTAATATTGAATAATTTAAATTCGTATAACCAATTTTAATTAATCATAGATTATAAAAAAAATAAGAATGGCTCGTAGTAAAAGCGTTGCTGGTTATTATGGTTCTTGTTAAATTATTATCAGTTGGGTAAATAAATAAATTCGTAAAATATTATTATTTATTAAAATTATTATTTAATATTAATATATTAAAATAAATAAATAAATAAATAAATATATATATATATATATATACGAAATAGGAAGGTAGTCTCTTGATTCGTTTTTCATATGATTCTTTTGCATCTTCATTCATTACTACAATCGGTCTTGGTTTTGTAGTTAAACAATTTAATTGGATGGAAAACGAATCAAGCTTCAAATTTGGTATACTTCTGGCCAAGAGCTTTTCATACAGTCACCATCTAATGATTTTGGAATTGGAATTATTTATTGAATATTTAAATTAATTAATTAACATTATTAGTTTATTACTTATTTGTTTATTTAGCTTATTATCTTGGAGCTATTGGAGTTAATGATATACGACGAAACTTTTGACTTTAGTCGTTGAGTATTGACTAAAGGTAGTTTTTCATCAAGGCCATTTTGGCGATTTGAGTAAAGTAAAAGCCCTTGACGTAATTAAAACCACTTGACGTACTAAAAACTCTTGATACGTGATACAAGCAGCAATAATGATAATGATAAAATAGAATTATCAAAATTTCCAAATTATGTAAAAATGTGTATCCTGGGAATTATTATATCATTGTATGTATATTGCAATGATGCAGAAGAATAAATATCATGGAAAGTTATAATTTGAATTAGAAATTTTAATTAATTAAATTACTCGACTTTTTTTCCGTAAATTTTCTTTCAAAATAAAAAGGCCACTAAATTCTTTTATAATTACATTTCATAAAATGTAAAAAATCAAATTGTCTTTACATACATATGAGTTGTGTTAAATTGATTAACTACAAAATTACATGCAATATGTAGTAATACGCAATACTATTAATAATATGCCTGAGCTGTCCTTAGTATCTGAGTTTGAGAACGACCTTATAAGACAGGTTTTGGTACATATTTGTGTAAGTTTTAATTTTATTTTCTATTTTTTATCGCTTTTAAATTTTCAAAGAATTTGTTCTATTGTTGAATCATGATAAATCGATCACTATAGTTTGGTGATGGTGAAATTGTTCTTTAAATAATTAAATAATGCGATTTTCGTTTTCGATTTAAATGCAATCAATGTTGTACGAAAAAAAATTGTTTGTTACACGTCCGCAAAGAAAAAGGAAATAATATTATTATTCTCACATTCATTAGTCAAAGTTTTATATTTTATATTTTTATATAATGTCACATAACAATTTGTTATTACCAGGAAGGGCGGAGTTTGTATGGAAAATCAAAAATGAAATGCATAATAATGCTAATGTTAATTCTGGTGAAGAAAATAGAAAAGACTATTATTTTTCATTAGTTGAAAAAAACAAGGAGCTTTCTGAAAACGAAAAAGAATTTTGTAAGCAAGAGTTGATTTATTGGCATGAATTAAATAATGCAACATATAAAGTAGGCAAACCAAAAGAATGTAACAAGTGTAAATTGACAAAATACTCTGATAGATTCTGTGAAGGTTGTATCAGTTTAC